GAGTTTAATTTAAATTTGAGGACTATAACTCTATACGCTCAGTCACCTTACACCACTCAATCCAGGCAAATGGGCAGTTAACATACTTTACAGACATTCAATGAATCCGAGGAAAAAGGAAGAAAAATGTATTTTCATCCCAGAAAATAATTTCATCCGAAAATTCGGACTTTTAGTTTTTTCTTCCATTAATAAAGTTTTCTTTACGCTATTTGTAGCAACTTTTATGTTTTTTAAAGAGAGTTCAACTTGCGGACCCGACTTTCCTAAAAATAGGGATTGTAGATTTCTACCGCTAAAAAATTGGTAAAGATTCAATCTATAGTAAGACATACATCAAGCACTGTTTGAATCTTGAAAATAAAGGATCACTTTAAATGTCTTTTATTCAACCTTAACAAATAAAAGAAAAAAGGACTCAGAACGAGAAAGGGCAGCGAACTATGCTGTGAAAGGAGAAGAGAGAGAGTGGAAAAATAAAATCAATAATTGAGGAATTCACAGAAGAAAAACAGGGAAAAGGGCAAATAAATGGAAATGGAGAAAAAAGATAAACAGGGAAAATGGCCGTTACTTAAAAAATTAAAACTATAAAAAGGACCAGTCCAAAAAAGGTACGGCAAATAGGGAAAAGGGCATACTGAAAACGAATTAGGGAAAAAATTAGAACTAAGGATAAGAAATGAACTAGGGATAAGGCATGAACTACGAGTAAGACATAAACCAGGTATTAGAAATTAATATAGGGATAACACTTGAACTAAGGATAAGAATGAACTAAGGATAAAAATGAACTAGTTACTAGAAATGAACTACGGATAAAACTTGAACTAAGGATAAGAATGAACTAGTTCCTAGAAATTAACTAGGGATAAGACATGAAATAGAGATAAGAAATTAATATAGGGATAAGAATAAACTAAGGATAAGAATGAACTAGTTATGAGAAATGAACTATGGATAAGACGTGAACTACGGATAAGAAATTAATAAAAGGATAAGATTTGAACTAGGGATTAGAAATTAATATAGGGATAACACTTGAACTAAGGATAAGAATGAACTAGGGATAAGAATGAACTAAGGATAAGAATGAACTAAGGATAAGAATGAACTAAGAATGAACTAGTTATTAGAAACGAACTAGGGATAAAAAGAGAAAAGACATAAAATTATAAAAAAATAAATAGATGAGGGCTGCATGGAGTTTCTAAAATCAAAATAAGATTATGTGGTAATGATTGAAATTCTTGTTTTTGGTGGTTGGGAATTATCTTCAAGAATAAACTTGAAGAAATTGTCAAGTTCTCCTCCTTACCATATAATTATATTATTATTAATAAAGAAAATGGGTTGGAAGCATATGCCTTCTTAAACAATAAAGATAATACTGACGATTCTTTTGTCATTAAGATATATTTTAATAGTTTTTATAAATCTAAGGTACAGCTGTGGCATTTATGATATGTCGTATTATAATAGGGTCATTAAACCACTAATTACATAGATAGGGATAATGGTATTTAACAGTCATATTGTTTAATGAGCTAAAAAAGGACAGTAAACTTTTTTATTTAATTAAAATTCATAAGATATACCGACTAATAAAATTCAAGATACAAAACTAAAAATGAAATTTGACTATAAATAATTTAATATATACTTTTTTTGTTATTTTCACTTTAATTATTATTTTTTTTCAAAATTAAGTCATTTCAGTAATTACATTTGTACAGTAAAAATTTTTTCTTTTTGTTATTTTTTTCATATTTTTGATATTGTTTAATTTGTTTAAATGACGAAGCAGGGCTGGGGTAGGAGAGAGACTTGTTTGTGTTATAAAGGTATTTTAAGTATGTGTTTCTGGTGTGTTTCTGTATATTATGACAGATAGAGGGGAATAATTCCAATTGAACTAAAGCAGACATTTATCAAAATAAAGCATCAGACAACAATACTTAATACAGGGTGTCATAGAATACAATACTTAATACAGGGTGTCATAGAATACAATACTTTATACAGGGTGTCATATAATACAATACTTAATACAGGGTGTCATGTAATACAATACTTAATACAGGGTGTCATGTAATACAATACTTAATACAGGGTGTCATATAATACAATACATAATACAGGGTGTCATAGAATACAATACTTAATACAGGGTGTCATAGAATACAATACTTAATACAGGGTGTCATATAATACAATACTTAATACAGGGTGTCATATAATACAATACTTAATACAGGGTGTCATAGAATACATTATTTAACACAGGGTTTCATAGAATATGATACTTAATACAGGGTGTCTTAGATTATAATAATTAATACAGAGTGTCTTAGAATACAATACTTAATACAGGGTGTCATTGAATACAAAACTTAATTCGGGGTGTTCCAAAATAAACTAAAATACTCCAAAGTGTCCTAGAATACAGAAATAATCTACAGGGTGTCTTGTGTTTTA